CATACATACATACATACATACATACATACATACATACATACATACATGTAAATAAAGAAATAAAATCTGGAGGGCAGCAAGATGTTCCTCCAAAACCTATTTATGTCGCTCAACAATAATGATGTTTTTATCCTGCCATAGACCCTACCTGTGGTTGCTTGGACTCTGAGCCGATAACAAGCTATAGAGTTCCTCTCCACTTCAATCTAGAGAACATGCTGTCTATAATTTCCACAAGTTAAAAAAAAACAAAAACAACTACGTATTGATGGTAATCTGAGACGTGAATATGTAAATGAGACCACACGTCCCATTTTACGTGACTTCAGCTTAAATTAGTCAGGACACAGAGAACACAGTTCTGGATGTTTATGTGTGTTCATTAGATTCAGAAGTTTTCAGTCTCACTTGATGTGGTCATAACCCACGTCAACTGAAAAAGGCTTTCAGAAATGTTCCTGAGCCCATGCTGTGCTCTCCACAATAGTTCCATGTGGGTTAACACAGAGCTGCCCGAGTGTCTGATGCTCACAGGCCCCAGGATGTTTAGTTTCTGCCTAGTCAGGTATGCACAGATTTCTACCAGTGCAGATTTTAATTATATTTTCTGCTAAAAAATGGTTAAATCTGCAATGAGTTTTCACTTTATCTTGTCAGGAAATATTATTAAATTCTGTTTGCTCACACAGTCGTTCACAGAGTAGCCCATGTTTCTTCTCCAGTGATTAGTACCGAGGCTATAAATCTGTTGCTAATTAACTTATAAGTTGTAAGATGGCCTATAAAGCGTATCAACCTCTATTGGCCCTTGATCCATTCTGGGCTCTGGATGGTTAAAACGTCATTCTAGATGGCTGGGCTACTACAAAAAATAAATTAGAAAGACAGGTAGGAAGGTACTCAGCGTGTCATCTGAACAGAGAATGGATGATAAGGAAACCTGGTGGTGGAATAGTCAAGTGCAGGAAGTTATTCAAAGAAAGAGGTTAGCCAAGAAGAAATATGACAGTGAGGAGATTGAAGAGAGGAGACAGGAATATAAGGAGATGGGACGTAGAGCAAAGAGAGAGTCAGATATTCTTTATTGTCATTCGCACCACATGTGGTACATGTGGCGGAACAAAATTATGTACACAGGGTCCCAGTTACATCCAACAATAAGATGTAAAAGAAAAACAGTAATACGATCTAAGATATGAACCAAGACTATGAACTAAAAAAAAAAAAACTAAATATACACTAAGCACTAATGGCATAAAAACAATAAAAACAATTTGTTGAACAGCAGCACAAACATGAGTCTGTGTGAGCAGATAAGCACACAGAGGGAGGCAGCAAAGCAGAAGACGTATGATGACTTGTATGGGAGACTGGACACTAAAGAGGACGAGAAGGCCTTGTACAGATTGGTGAGACAAAGGGATCAGGCTGGAAAGGATGTGCAGCAGGTTAAGCTTGTGAAAATAGGAATGGTAATGTTTTAACAAGTGAGGAGAAAATGATGGGATGATGAAAGGAGTATTTTGAGGAGCTAATGAATTTTTCATTAATTCAATCATTATTTAGACAGGGAGTCTTGGGAACTCATTTTCCAGAGAGACCTGATTTCTTAACAAAGACAACAGTGAGTAACAACGACAACAATAGACAGTCACAAAAGAGGCATACAAAATTTTAATTTATTTTTTTTAACAAATCAAAACAAAATAGAAACCAAAAGGACAGCCAAAAGGAAAAGTAGTGAAAAGAAAAAAAAGCAGCTAGATTATAAGGCGGTGTAGAAAACAGGAACATGTCTGCATTGGTTCTTGCCAAGAACTTAACAGATGTTTAAAGACACTTAGAGAGGTCAAGGTCGAGAGCTTCAGATCTTTTTGTAAGATTTTCCAGGAAACAGGAGCGAAGCAGGAGAAGGCCCTTTTGCCTAGTTCAGTCCTCACTGAGGGAACACTGCAGGTAATAATGTCCTGAGAGCACACGCTGTAGCTGCACTCACGCAGAGACATGTAGGAGGAGATGTATGAAGGCAGCAGACCAAGAAGTAATTTAAAGATGAAAATGTACCAGTGAGCGAGTCTGCGTGAAGTTAATGATGTCCAGTTAACCAGTAAATACAGGGTGCAGTGCTGGGTACGATAATCACAGCCAGTTATGAATCTTAGTGCACCATGATAGACAGCATCCAACATCTGCAGGGTTCTTGTAGGACTGAATGAAGGGAATGAAAGAGAAAAAAAAGTAGAGGTCATAGAAACTGTGGAGCATGAAGTTGGAAAGATTAGTTAGGCTCTGAAAAGAATGAAGAAGGGGAAGGCAGTAGGACCTGATGACATCCCAGTGGAGGTTTGGAAATGTCTTGGAGAGATGATAGTGAGGTTTTTGACTCAAATATTCAATTGCATATTTGAGAGTGAGAAAATGCCTGAGGAATGGAGAAGCGTGCTGGTGCCCATTTTTAGGAAAACAAGGGTGATGTACAGAGTTGTAGCAACTACAGGGGAATTAATTCAGTATATTTCAATATAAACAAAGTCCATGCTCAATAATCCAGGTATACAATCCAACAATTTTCAGTCAGATCATCTGGATAGTTTTTTTTTTTTTGTGCTGAAACATTGAAACATTTTTTGTGCTGAAATATTGATGAAGCCTTCTGGATGGAAGGTGAAATGTTTCAGCACCAAAAAATATAAACTGTCCAGGTAACCTGACTGAAAATTGTTGGATATTTCAATACACTTTATGGATCACCAAGGGGAAAGTTGATGAACCTCACGATGAAGATCTGGGAGAGAGTTGTGGAAGCAAGACTTCGATGAGAGGTGACTGTGAGCAGCAGTATACCATACCATACCATACAAATTTATTTATATAGCACTTAAAACAGCAACAAGGCCAACCAAAGTGCTGTACAAAAGAACACAAACATGCACAGCAGACAGGAAAACATAAAATAGAAATACAGATACAAATAGCAGCAGGAGCTAACTAAAATGGCCAACAGAGTAGAGAACAGACCGGACCAAAACAAATCACACCGTGTTAAAGGCAAGCGAATAGAAGTGGGTCTTCAAGCGAGACTTAAAGACTGAGAGTGTGGGAGCCTGCCGGACACTCAGTGGCAACTCATTCCACAGTCGTGGACCTGCAACAGAGAAAGCCCTGTCACCCCTGAGCTTACGACGGGTTTCTGGGACTGAGAGAAGCATCTGGTCTGCTGACCTCAGAGAGCGTGGTGGGACATATGGCTGCAGAAGATCAGTGAGATAGGATGGGGCGGAACTGTTCAGTGATTTAAAAACCTACATGAGAATTTTGAAATGGATCCGAAGGTGAATGGGTAGCCAGTTCAGGGAGGCCAAAACTGGCGTGATGTGCTCTCTATAGCCTGTACCAGTTAAAAATCGGGCTGCAGCATTTTGGACCAGTTGTAGACGAGCAATGGAGGACTGACTGATTCCAAACAGAAGTGAATTGCAGTAATCAAGCCTAGATGTTATGAGGGCGTGGATCACTGTCTCGAGGTTCTTTTTGTTGAGTATAGGCTTCAGCTTAGACAGCCGTCTCAGCTGAAAAAAACAGGATTTGACCATCATGTTTACGTGACTGTTGAGTTTTAAGGACGGGTCCATTATCACCCCCAGATTAGTCACCTTTTGTTTCTCTAGCGGGGCTAGAGAGAATAGGTCAATGTCATAGTTCATGAGTGAGCCACTGGGATGGAACAGCATGACTTCAGACTTCTTCTCATTGAAGCTTAAGAAGTTTAAAGCCATCCAGTCCCGGATGTCAGCCAGGCAGTCAAGAAGAGGCTGAATAGAGCGTGTGCCTCTGTGCCTCAGGGGGAAGTAAATTTGGCAATCATCGGCATAGAAATGAAAGGGTATGTCGTGTTTGCGGAAGATAGCACCTAGTGGCAGCAGGTATAAAGAAAAGAGAAGGGGACCGAGGATGAACCCCTGCGGTACCCCCCACTGGAGTGCGGTCGATGCCGAACTGAAATCTTTGATATTGACACAGAAGGTTCTGTCAGAGAGGTAGGACCCAAACCATTTAAGGGCTGACCCTGTGATGCCCACCCA